AAAATCCACATTAATTGGTATACCTAGTACTGTTTCCCCGAAAATAAGACAGTGTCTTATATTAATTTTTTCTCCCAAAGTCACGCTAGGTCTTATTTTCAGGGGATGTCTTATCTTTCCATGCGCTAGGTCTTATTTTTGGAGGATGGCTTATTTTCAGGGTATTATCAAGTGATCTGACTTCCCAGCTATTCCTTCTATCCATCTCCCATTCGTTTTAGAGATGAGTTTCTTATGTGCCAGGCAAGTCCTGTCCTTCACCAATAGGACTAACCCAAACACTATTTCTCTCGGGAGGCATGACAAAGTGACAGAAAACAACAGAAACAACCAGGAGAGCACAAGACTAAAAACCTAGCTGGTGATCAATCAAAACCAACCAGCCAGAGGTTATTTATCTGGGATCTGTTTTGTTTGAGGGGTGGGAGGTTTCTAAGCCCATAGTCACCATGAGACTTATATGAGAAAAGGCATGCCATTCTATCCTCAAATAGCCCAAAGAGTTGGAGGGACAATTTACAACCTCTTGTGTAAAAAATGTCTATAAATGCCAGTGCCATTCTTTGCCCTGTCACGTCCCATTATCCTAAACCAACAGGATTCTATTCACTGAGACTTAAGCTAGAAACATGAATGGACAGGCCTTTCTTGGGCAGGCAAAAGAGGTTTTGTGTATAGTATACTAATGGAATATATGAACAGTTATACAAAAGTCAGCCTAGGAAGAATAGCTGAGATTCAGTGTCCTCAAATTTATAATATGGTCAAGCTATAAATCTAAAATATGAAGAGATGATCAGATTATGACAGTTAAAAAAGAAATCAGTCATAAATGCTATTAATTCACACACTTTCCCTTTAAAAAAAAATATTTTATTTTTTTTACAGAGAGGAAGGGAGAAGGATAGAGAGTTAGAAACATCTATGCGAGAAACATCGATCAACTGCTTCCTGCACACCCCCTACTGGGGATGTGCCCGCAACCAAGGTATATGCCCTTGACCGGAATCTAACCTGGGACCCTTCAGCCCGCAGGCCGAGGCTCTATCCACTGAGCCAAACCGGTTTCAGCACACTTTCCCTTTTTATCATACATCTACTGAAGAGAAATCAGCAAGCAATTGGGGCCTTAACCTGGATCAAGTAAACACAAACCCTGTGCAATGGAGATGACAGGAGGTGGGTTTCTCATTGTACTTTTTAGGATATTACGATGAAGAGGCATCTCCACACCATCTACGAACTTACCAGTATTGCATGATCTCTATGTGAATGAGATCTGTGCCTGAAGAACTGTAAAACTTAAAACAGGTGTCTAAATTATTCTGGAGGATGTTATACTAGAATCAAGGATCCTAAAATAAGGTGGACAGAATGCTAATCTGGCTGTTCCATAAAAATAAACTTAATCATGCCACTACCGTGGCCAACCAACCAAATACTAGGTAGAAAATAAACTCTGGTGATAAAGAACAGTTATGCATAAGACTGAAACAGTTAACTCTCACTGAGACTATACCCAGCTTCAATCTCAGGCTTCGGATATAGGACATTAAGTTCTACCGTAGGAAACAAGTTTACAAAAAATAACACTTTCTTTTATCTTACTCCTTTTCCTCCAATCTATAGATTCAGTTTAAAACTGTTTATAATCTAGTCTGGTCAGAATGTCTCAGTGGTTAAGCGTCCACCTATGAACTAGGAGGTCAGGGTTCGATTCTTGGGCAAGGCACATGTCCAGGTTGTGGGCTCCATGCCCAGTGTGGGCCATGTGCAGGAGGCAGCTAATAAATGATTCTCTCTTATCACTGATGTTTCTATCTCTCTCTCCCCTTCCCTTCCTCTCTGAAATAAAAATAAAAAAATAATTAAAAATAAAACTATTTATATTCTACAAGTACTGAAAAATTTGGACTACAAAAACAAAGATTCCATTTATGTGGTCTGGTAAAGGAGTTCTATGCTACTTCCAAGTATAAAAGCTGTGTGGGAGATATAAACTAGACTTGAGTAGTTTAATACCCACGTGGCTATTTAATTAAAAATTCAGTTCCTCAGTTACACTAGTTACATTTCTAGTGGTCAATAACCACATGTTGCTAATCATTACTATATTAGGTAACAGGTTATTAAGTAGGACAATATTCTATAGAATATTTCTATCATTACAGAAAGTTCTATTGGACAATAGTAGACTAGACAGCAAAATACCAACATTTCTAGGACATTTTAGTGTTTTATGGGGAAAATTAGAGCAAACTGTTAAAATAAGGATGATTATGAAAATCAGGATTTATGATCAATGTATATGGAACTTAAAGAAAACATCTCAAAAAGTCACAACCTCCAAGCAAAGTGGTCCCTGGAAGAAATCATATACTCTAGAACAGTGCTATTCAAAATGTGGTCTGCCTCCTGGTGCTGGTCCCCAAACTGTTCGTTACAACTCTGCAGTTAAATCCAGAAATTGAGAGTGTTTAGAAACTTCCAGAGTAATTTAACATTACTGTGACATTTTAATTTTATTGTATTTGATAAAAGTTCCACTCTGCAATAAACTGGAAATTTAAAAAAGCTAGTCTTTGCCCTGACTGGTAGCTCAGTGGTTGGAACAACACCCTACACACAGAAGGGTGGAGGGTTTGATTCCTGGTCAAGAAATAATAATAAAAAAAAAATGCTAGTCTTTGCCATAGAACTTGAGAGAAACACTACTCTAGAACATATGTGTGACAATGAATGCGATTAGAAAACATAATTCATATAGTCAGAGTTCTGCCAATTACTACTATTTGATTATAACCCTTCAGAGATTTAAAATGAAAACTGAAATCTTACCAGTGATCAAAAACCATAGAAGTTAACTGATTCAATTAGTCATAAAGCCAGCTGGCCAACAAAACTGAATTAAGGAAGAAAGAAAATAAACCAACAACAAAACAAAGAGGGAAGAAAACTAATATTTATTGAGATTGTCAAAGTGTCACTACGTTAGGTAATTTCAAATATACAATTTATTCTTCACAAACAGTGTTAGGTATTACTCCCATTTAAAAAAATTTTTTTTGTTTTAATTAATCCTAACCTGAGGATTTTTTTTTTTTTTTAGGCTATTTTTTTCCATTGACTTTTAGAGAGAGAGAGAGGGAGGGAGGGAGGGAGGAAGGGAAAGAGATGGGGGGGGCGGAAGGGGGAAGGAAGGGGAAAGACAAGGGGGATGGGGGTGGGGAGAAGGGGGAAGGAGAAGGGGAAAAAGGGGGGGGGGAAAGAAACATCGATGTGAGAGAGACACATCAATTGGTTGCCTGTTTGCCTCCTGCATGCGCCCCAACCACGCAGGGGATTGAACCTGCAACCCAAGTACATGCCCTTGACCGGAAATTGAACCTGCAACCCTTCAGTGAATGGGCTGGTGCTCTAACCATTGAGACACCAGCCAGGGTATTATTTCCATTTTTATAGATGAGAATCAAATAAGTTTAATATTTTGCTCAAAGTCACAAAATCAACTAAGGTATCTCCTTCATGTTCTACTCATGGACTAGCAAAATCAGGTCAAATTGGACTGGCAAAATCAGGTCAAATATAGAGAAAGATTATAAGGAAAGGAAAAGAAAAGCTGATGTCCCTGTAATGAAATGCTAGCAAAATAACTCAGGTGTGGCTCAGTGACTGAGTGTTAACCTATGAACTAGGAGGTCACAGTTCAATTCCGGGTCAGGGCACAGGCCTGGGTTGCAAGCTTGATCCCTAGTAGGGGGCATGCAGGAGGCAGAGCCAATCAATAATTCCCTCTCATGATTGATGTTTCTCTCTCTCTCTCCCTCTCCCTTCTTCTCTGAAATAAAACATACACACACCCACACCCACACATCAACTCAGGCAAACAGTATATGTGAGGGACAAATTCCTCTGAGGAATGTATCCATGTGAGCTGAGTAGTAGGAGGTACAATGTTCAATTTATTTCATTTTGATGGAACATACAAACACACACAATTCCCTAGAAGAGTGAAGTTATTGCTGAGATTCTCAGATACCTATCCCTCATACATAAAAGGAGATAGATGAGATCCAGGGCCACATATCCAAAGCATCCTTCCCCTTGGCCACTAGCAAAACACAAATGACTTTGGGTTTATAATTCTTCCCAATTAAGCTGCAAGTGGTTTAAGAATCACATACTCTGACTTCCTCTCAACTCCTAAATTGTAAAAATTTCAAACAAACCAGCAAATACTCCTATTGAACACCTATGGTCTCAGCATCAAGCTGAGCACACAGAGCTGTTGTATTTCTGGTAAACACAAAAAATGTAACTTGAAGGAAGGAAAGATGAAACACACCTGTAAGCAAGATTATGAGTCCTCCCCCCACCCCACCGCAAGCACAAGTGTTTACATCTTAGTTTTAGATTTTTTTCCTGAGCAAAAATATAACTGGTCAAGTCAATTTTTTCCTATGGATTTCCATACTCAAATGGGAAAGAATAATTTTTTTTATTTTTAAAAATATATCTTATTGATTTTCTTACAGAGAAGAAGCAAGAGGGATAGAGAGTTTGAAATATCGATCAACTGCCTCCCGCACTCCTCCCTCCCCCGCCGAGGATGTATCCGCAATCAAGGTACATGCCCCTGCCTCTGCCTGGAATTGCATCTGGGACCCCTGAGTCGGCAGGTCAATGCTCTGTCCATTGAGCCAAATCAGTCAGGGCAAGAATAATTTTTTTAAAATGTTTTCTTTCGACAACCAAGAGAAATACAGAGCATGCTCAAACAGCCTAAGTAGAGCTATGAAAACAATCTGTGTGTGTGTGTGTGTGTGTGTGTGTGTGTGTTTATGTGTGTGAAAACCAATTAGCTTTGTGAAACAATTTCTATAATACAATCAGTAGTCAGTGAGAGGAGATAAGAGTCAAAGGACTGTGTGAAACAAAGTGTTACATTCTTAGCCTGGTAGTCCCTAAACAGCTCTAACATTGCAAAAACAGTACTTTACCTTTCTGGAGATTGAAGAGACATTCAAACCAAATCTTTGGGCTCTTTCCTTTAGCTTGTCCAAATTAACCTACAAAAACAAGGGGAGGGGGAAACAAACACCAACAAAAAACCAACCTATGTTTTAAAAAATCAAAACAGAAAATACAGAAGGCAGAAACTATGGTCCAATGATAAAAGTTAAATAAGCCTACAACATCAAAGTAACCTATGTGCCAAATTAGAACACAAAGCAGCACCTGTCCATGCCACTAATTATTAAAAGGCTTCTTTTGGAATGCAATGACAGAATCAGCCCTACTTCCTTCATTCAGCAAAGGTGGCAAGAACCTCAGGAGGGTTTAAGATCAAAGTAGGACAAACACTGCTTGAAAAAGGAAACAAATGTCTAAATCATCACCTCCTAACAAGTCCTCCATTCAAAGTCCAAAATCATTAATTCCTATAGTCTCTGCAAATAGTTCTTACTTTACCTCTTAGCAAAAAGGTATCATCACTGCACATGTACTTTCTTCAGAAGAAAAATCTACCACCAGAACCCTACTCAATTTTCTTGGAAGCCTTGATATATCAAGATTATCACAGGAATATTTAGGACATTTTCTTTCTTTTTAGGTATATGGATATTTTGAATGATTAATGCATGTAATTGCTGAGGTTACTATGTACAGGTAAGAGAAGTGGAGATTTATTTCTTGATTTCTTTCCCCTCGGACAGTCTTAATGATTTCCTCCCTCTTGGCCTGGAGCCATTCTTCATGGAGCTTGCTTGCTTCCTTGGTCTTAGACCTGTGGGCCTCAGCCTGGTCAGCTAGAAGTTTGTTGTGAGTCTTGTCTGCCTTCCTTCAGTTCATGAATGTGTTCCACAAGAATCTGCTTGTTTCTGAACATGTTACCTCTTTCAGGCACAGGCTAAGATACATGTGGTGGCCAATCTTCTTAGATTCACAGTATCTTCTAAGCAGCTGGAGAATTCTCATCCTCCTTATCCAGGCTACATTCTCAGCCATTCAAGCACTGGCAGTACCCTTTGGTTTACCTCACCCATATGCCTGCCTTTCTTGCAGGCTAAGGTGTTTTTCAAACAACAAGCTTGGGGAATGGACAAGCACAGGCTTCCAGATGATCAGTCCATCTTTGATCAACTTCCAGATCTGCTGATGGGAGTTGGCATTGGAGATTTCATTAGTCTCACTGGGTTCCAAGCCAACCTTCTTTTTGCCACAGAAAAGGACACTGCAGCCAAGCCTCTTCTGAAGCCTGAGCAATACTCATGTATGTATGTGGTCACAGAAGTAAAAGTATTTTAGAAATTTTCATTAATAATACTACTAAAAATAATGAACTGTAACCACAAAAGCAGAATTCCATAAAGCTGAACTTTTTTTTTTTTTTTTATAATAAACACTTTTAAAATTTTATTTATTTGTATTATATTTTAAATCCTCTCCCGAGGATATGTTTTATTGATTTTAGAGAGAGAAAAAAGGGAGACTGAACTGAAAGAGATCAATGTGAGAGAGAAACATCAACTGGTTGCCTCCCGTACGTGCCAACCAGGGATTGAACTGGCAACCTGGGTGGGTATGTGCCCTGACCGGGAATCAAACTTGGACCTTTCTGTGTAGAGGACAACACTCCAACCAACTGAGCTAAGGACAAACTGAACATATTTCACCACATCACTTATTTCCATTTTCTAATCATGCCTACTAGACACAATGGCCCAGAAGTGTCTTATTCTACTAGTCTTTATTCTGATTTTACATTTACTAGGAGTGTTGAAAAATACCAGTATCTAAAAATAGAACTCATTAAGTTGCTTTCACAGATTTTTTTGTGGTAATTAAGAATTAGACATTATCAAAGCCACTGGACAAGGCCTAAAACTGCAGTACCAAAGACAAAGAGTTACATGGGCTGTTCTCTAACAAAACCTATTCATTTTTTTCAAGAGTGGTAGGAAGGGGGATGTCTATAGTATTTTTGAAGACATGGCAATTTTCCTGACCTCTTGGTACCTCTAACAATTCTCTTTATTGAGGACATAAAACATTACTGAAAACAGTTCCAAGCTCATATGATTTCAGTTTCCTTTGACCAGGGGAGGAGGAGAAGTCTCTTTAACTTATACTAACTGTATAGAGTTAAGTTTTAGCTCTCAAGGTATAAAATAAGATTTCTTACCACAGGCTTGGTGTCAGATGACAGGCCTAAAAAAAGAAAGTTTAATTTAATATTTTAAAAAGCCATAAAGGAAGCTCACATTCTTCAAATCAAGTCAGACAACATAGAAATAATATATATGACAAATCTCCTTTATTAGAAATAAAAGGCAGATTGCATCTAAAGATCATATATGCATTACATCTAGAATCTTATTTGTATAGCCACTTTGTAAACTGTTTGGTGGTTCCTCAGAAAGTTAAAGCGTAGTATTATAGTTTACCATATGACTTAGCAATTCCATGCCTAGGTATATACAAAAAAGACATGAGCCAAGACCGGTTTGGCTCAATGGATAGAGCGTCGGCTTGGGGACTGAAGGGACCTGGGTTCGATTCCGGTCAAGGGCATGTACCTTGGCTGCGGGCATATCCCCAGTAGGGGGTGTGCAAGAGGCAGCTGATCGATGACTCTCTCTCATTGATGTTTCTAGCTCTCTATCCCACTCTCTTCCTCTCTGTACAAAATCAATAAAATATATTAAAAAAAAAAAAAAAAAAAAAAGACATGAAAACTTGTATATAAATGTTCACAGCAACATTATCCATAGTAGCCAATATGTGAAAACCCAAATGTTAATCAACTGATAAATAGTTAGACAAAATATGGTAGATCCATACAATGGAATATTACCCAACAATAAAAAAAAAGTACTGATAAATGCTACAACATCTGAATACATTATGCTAAGTCTAAGAATTCAGTCACAAATAACCACAAATTATAGGATTCCACTTATATGAAGGCAAATTTATATATACATAGAAAAAAATCAGGCCGAAACCGGTTTGGCTCAGTGGATAGAGCGTAGGCCTGCCGACTGAAGGGTCCCAGGTTCGATTCCAGTTAAGGACATGTGCCTTGGTTGCGGGCACATTGCTAGTGCGGGGTGTGCAGGAGGCAGCTGATCAGTGTTTCTCTCTCATAGATGTTTCTAACTTTCTATCCCTCTCCTTTCCTCTCTGTAAAAAATCAATAAAATGTATTTTTTAAAAAGAAAAAAAATCAGTGGCTGCTTGGGGGGACAGGATGGGAAACAACTGATAATGAGTACAGGGTTTTGTTTTTGGGCGATAGATATGTCCTAAAATTAGACTGTGATGATAGCTGCACAACTCTGAGAATATAAAGGAACCAATGAATTATATATTTTAAATGAATGAATTGTATGGTATATGAATTATATCTCAATAAAGCTGTTAAAAATGAGAAAGAAATTCATATCTGGAAAAAAGAGCAGAGCTATTATCATGAGTTAAAATTATGTCCTCTTTTTAAAAAATATACTTTCTTATGGATTTCAGAGAGGAAGGGAGAGGGAGAGGTAGAAACGTCAAAGATGAGAGAGAATCACTGATTGGCTGCTTCCTGCACTCCACACTGGGGATGGAGCCCACAACCTGGGCATGTGCCCTGATCAGGAATGGAACCATGAACTCCTGGGACTTCCTGGTTCATAGGTTGACACTTCACCACTGAGCCACACCAGCTGGGCAAAATTATAGCCTCTTTAAGACAATGTTCTGTCTGGAAATTATAACTAAGCAAGTAGTATACTGGTCTATAGGATCAAACCTGATCTAGTCAATAATCACTGACTTAAAACTTAAGCAATCTCAATTTTGTCATTGGTTTTATAGTTCTCCAATGTAAACATTTATGTATGGATTCAACTTTTACCATAACCCATGTGCTAGGAATTAGGTGTTTTTATGTTCTCACTATAACATTATAATTCCTTTCAAATGTTCTGTTCAATATTTTAATTGATTTTCTTAGAAACAGAGAAAGGGAGAGGGGAGACAGAAACATTGATGAGAGAGAAACATGGATTGGCTACCTCCTGCAAGCTCACAATCCAGGCATGTACCCTGACTGGGAATCAAACCAGTGACCTCGAACTGGTAACCTCTTGGTTCATGGGTCAACACTTAACTACTGAGCAACACCAGCCAGGCTGCTCTGTTCTTTAGAGTTACTCTGTAATTCTAGGATGTCAGAGTTATGGAAACACTGTAAATGTTATCTATACATTATTTTTACTGATCAAGTTTAGTTCTCAGACTGTATTCATCTTAACTTTTTTCTTTCTTCAAATTTCACCATCTAACGTCTTAAATAATTTTGTTGTACTATCATCAGTCCTATTATCTGTCTCTTAACATAACTAAAAACTAGAAAATAACTTATTTCTAAAACACATACTGATAGTGGCCAGAATTTTTCTGGTCTTTTAAAAAGCATAGCAATATAAGATCTTTGGAGGACATTTTCTTTTTAATTTTTTAAATTAAATTATTATCTTTGTACATATACCATAGCCCCCCCCATACATACCCTCCCTCCCCAGAGTTTTGTGTCCATTGGTTGTACTTATATGCATGTATACAAGTGGAGGACATTTTCTTAACACACTTAAAACTATAAACAAGTCACTAGGAATATTGGACTGAATTAGGAGAGTACATTTAAATTTTACAGGGATTATGTCCTTTTAAAAAGAACAATAACCTGCCCTAGCTGGTTTGGCTCAATGGATAGAGCATCGGCCTGCAGACTGAAGGGTCCCGGGTTCAATTCTAGTCAAGGGTACATGCCCGGGATTGTGGGCTTGATCTCTAGTGTGGGGGTGCAGGAGGCAGCGATAGATGATTCTCTCTCATCAATGATGTTTCTCTCTTTCCCTCTCCCTTCCTCTCTGAAATCAATAAAATATATATATTTAAAAAACCAATAACTTTTATATCCTAATTACAAAATGTATATTCATTGTGAAAATTTTAAAAACAGACAAGATGTAGTTACTCAAAATTCTACTAGAGACAATGAGTATTAACAATTTAGTACATTTCTGCCGAGACCAGTTTGGCTCAATGGATAGAGCGTCGGCCTGCAGACTGAAAGGTCCTGGGTTCAATTCCGGTCAAGGGCATGTACCTTGACTGCGGGCACATCCCCAGTAGGGGGTGTGCAAGAGGCAGCTGATCGATAATTCTCTCTCATCGATGTTTCTAACTCTCTATCCCTCTCTCTCCCTCTCTGTAAAAAAATCAATAAAATATATATATTAAAAAAAAAAAAACACAAAAAACCAATTTAGTACATTTCCTTATTTTTTCTTAGTCATACATGCACTAGGAAATGACAATCTACTGCAAATTTTATAACTTGCTTTTTTCACTTAATATCTTCCTGACAAATATTCTTCAATATCAATTTTAACATCTGCATGGCCTTCCACTATACCATGGTACAAATTTATTTAACCAACTCCCTACTGTATGTCACACTGCTTCCAGTTACTGATCACTACAAATAATGCATGATAATCTTTGTGGCTAAATCTTTAAGTATATCCAAGATTAATTCCTAGAAGTAAGATAATTGAGGTAAAAGAGACCACTACACTAGGCAGAATAACAATGGACAGGTACATAATTATATACTGATTTGAGACAATAGAATAAGTGAGGTACTAGAAACTTCTCTGAAAATGTCCAAGAAAGGAAAAACAAATGTTGGTACTTCTTCCTATTCTCTTCAGTACCTTCTCTAAATTGCCCAGGAAGGCTTACATATAGTTTTACCTAAAGCAAAGAGGTAAATGTTACAACCTCTTAAAGGCTTCTAAAAATTAACAAGTTTACCTTAATTTGGAGAAATCAAATCTGTGTGCCAGAAAAGTAAGAATATAGAGGTAACTTTCTCAGAGTTTCTGAGAAAGAGTTTCTGTGTGTACTTACCTTTTGAGGGAACTGAAGAAATTCCAAATCTGTAGAAAGAAAAACAAGCTAAATTTTAGGGAGCTGTTCACACTCCTAGTCTCCGTGTCAAGTGTACATATGGCACTTCTTGCTTGTGATCTCAAGCCTTGCAATCATTAGCCAATTCTAACAACTCCATGAAAGAAGTTCCGTTTACTCTTTCTCACGAAGAGTCCAAATAATAAGCTAAAAGGAAGCCTTATTAATAGAAGTCAGTTGCTAACTTTTACCTATTACAAAACCCCTGCTCGATAATAAAACCCATCCACAGCTACTATATCCAAATCAACAGAGTTCTCAATAGAGCCAAAAAAGTTTCTGTTCAGCAAGGCCTATATCCTCCTTAAAGTCAACAAGTATATTTAAAATCACAGCCCCTCACCTTCATACTGTCACTATCTCAGGTCCAAAAGGCTGGGGATACTCACCTAGCTGCCCGGGCAGCTTTCTTACTCTCCAAACTCACAGGTACATTGAATCTTTCAGCTCTCTTCTGCATTCTCTAAGTGATAATGGATAAAAGAAGGGGAAAAGAAAATGTTAATTTCTGGTTTTCTTCTCTTAAGAGAAAAGTTGTTTAGAGGTGTATCTTTAGAATATGAGGAGTAATTTTTTAAGATCTAAACTGAGAATACTGACCATCTTACAGGATATCAGGTCATATCCATTTGAGGGCTTAACTCAATAGTCGTTTCCAGAAAGCAAACACAAAAAGACTATTATTACATCCATGCCCTCAAAAACTAAAGAAATAAAATGAAACCCACAATCTGCATGAAGCCAAGGGGACAAAAAGCTGTGTCTAGTTGACCTTTGAAAAGGGATCAAAGGAACAACTGGTTCGGACAGTGGTGATATGCGTTTAATTAGAAATATATCCTATGCCACCTTTACTTTAAAGGTATAAAAAAAGAAACAGATCTCGACAAAATCCCACAGAAATTTCAATGTCACCAGCTAGTGAGTTGTAACTTAAGGGTGACATCTTCCCTTGTTTTTTCATCTCTCCCAAGGTACAATTCTCCCAAGCCCCAATCCTAGCTTGTAAACATCCTAAAGAGAAATACCACTAAGACCACAGGTACAGTGTTTTATATAAAAAGACTATGGTTTCAATGGTGACTATGCCAAACCAAATATTTTCTCAAGTATAGTTGGTGGAAAAATATATCAATACCAAATCTGTTAATACTGTTTTACTGCCTATGAGTAAAAATTTTAAAGTGATAATACAGATAAAAGGTAAGAAAAAGAAAGGTATATGGATAGAGGGTCTGCTTTTCTCCCAGGGGAAAATACCTACCTCAGTCTGTGGTATTTCAGATGTAATTTTTACCACTTTCTTTTCTGCTGCCCTGGAAAAAGAGGAAAGAGTTATTTAAAATGAGAAAATGGACATTCTAAACCAAAACTTTAGAATAGTATAAGAATTTTCCTGAATCATCTCTTCTGTCCCATATCTTTCTATTACCTCTTCTTAAAACCCCCCCCAAAAAAAACATAAAACGCTTTAGAACTTCCAATTCCTTGAACTGTCATCTACTGACAAGAGTTCAAATAACAGACCAAGCTACTTTGCTGAAGTATAAGAGAGTTATCAGGAAAGAAGTCTGGTTACATATATTGGGCTGAAATGAAATACTCAAAGGATACGGGAAACCATTTTATTTACTTATAGTAAATAAAAGCATTTTAAATTTACTTCTGGTCTAACTAGTCCTCTAACCCTCATTTAAATGTCAGCTCTCAATTTTCATCACTGAAACAATTAATGTGTGCTCTACAAGCTCTGGTTTCTTTCCTTTACAAATCCCTTATTTCTCCCATGGGGACTATAACTTCAGCTGAAATAGTCAAAATGGGACAAATAAAAATGCCAAAAGGAGTGGGAAGAAAAAAGGCTAAGGGGAGTTTGAATTAGGAAAACATAGTAAGTTACTAGTCAAAAGGCTAAGAGAAAACAAAAGAGGAGGACCATAGGGGCGGGAGACAAAGTTCGGAAGTACCCAGGATAAATGGAAGGGAATTAACCTTCCACCAAACGACTCCCATAAAACTGTGGGTCATAACCAGTCTCATTAAGGTCCCTCATTTAGAGACATGGGCGGCTTTTGTTCCAATATCCCAGACACTTTTTCCATTTGATGCCCTGAAAGGTAGTAATGGTTTAATGGCATTTCAGAGGAAGCAATTCTGGAACAGGAACTTACTCTCTCCTACATCCTTTTGTTGGAAGTCCCTGAACTGACAGATAAGCAATAGGTGCCCCCTGCTGACCATAACTAAGTCCTACAATATTTAACTGGTGTTATTAAGAAAAAAAAAAAAATCAAACTAGAAAGAGGAATATTTTTGGAGACACTGAAACCAAAGATGAACTAGGGGATCTCCTATTGAATGTCCCAGGGATATAAATTAGCCCTAAATATTCTGACTTTTAAATAAATTTTTGAATTCTTCCCATTTCCTGGTCACTCTTCCTTCCCCATTACTGTCTTGTTCAGGCAAAAAGGGACACTGAAGTTTAATGTTTTTCTTCAAGTCCAATGCCATTAAGAAAGCAGTCCTCTCCACCAACCACTAATGACTTTCTTCACATTCCTGTTTTAAAATACAATCAGTGCAGTTCACCTCATAGCAGAAGTGGAACCATAGAGAGGAAGCCTCCGTCTGTTCCATTCTAACTCTCAGGCACAATTAAGCACAAGCAATAAAAACACAGCACATTCTGGGACTCAAGGGAAATTTTGTCTCTTAACTGAGAAAATTTTGACACACAATCACATATAAAACACTGTCTAAACTATAGGGACTCAGACCCTTTCTGAACTGTACATACTTTAAAAAATATATATATTTTTTTATTGATTTCAAGGAGGAAAGGAGGAGAGAGATAGAAACATCAATGATGAGAGAATCATTGACTGGCTGCCTCCTACATGACCCCAAGTAGGGGGCCAAGCCCAAAACCAGGGCATGTGCAGGAAAGGGAACCGTGACTGCCTGGTTGATAGGTGGATGCTCAACCACTGAGCCACGCCAGCCGGGCATTATTGTACATATTTCAGTCTAACCATTACTTCCCTCCAAAAAGCAAAATCACTACTATCCACACAATCAATTTCCCTGTTTAGAAATTAAAACCCCTTAATCAAATTATACATTTTACAATATCCTAAGAATAATGAACTTTTACAAATTTTCAAACTTCATTTTTCAAAATACTTATTTATTATTGATTTTTTTTTTTTTTTTAAGAGAAAGAAAGAGGGAGAGAGCGAGCAAAGCATTATCAGCTGCTGTCTGTACGTTCCCTATCCCCTTACTGGGGACAGAGCACACAACTTGTGCATATGCCCTGACAGGGAGTCAAACATGCAACTTTTTGGTGCAGGGCAGTGGTAGGCAAAATGTGGCTCACGAGTCACATGCGGCTCTTTGGCCCCTTGAGTGTGGCTCTTCCACAAAATACCACGTCATGTACAGTGAGACTGAGACTTTGTGGTCTATGTGCAGAAGTCGGTTTTTGGTTCTCAAAAGAAATTTCAATTGTTGTTCTGTTGATATTTGGCTCTGTTGACTAATGAGTTTGCCGACTTCTGGTGGAGGGGATGATGTCCAACCAGATCCAAATTTCATTATCTTTAACCACACAAGCCAATTATCACTGTATTTATCTGATATTCCTTCTTATCCAGAAGTCCCCAAAACATTTCAATTTGAAAGCTATCCATAAAACATATTCTTAAAACATTGTATCTAAACAAAAGTCTCTATGATGGAAGATAACTAAAAGGTTTTCAAAAGCAGTAATATTTGAAAAAATCTAATAAAACATTACATGCACATTCCCTGTAATATAGCAACTCCAGGGATATTCTCTATGAACATACTTGCATAAATATAAAAACAGTTGCATAAAAACATGTAGCACTGCATTTTTTGCTATTATGAATAATCTCAATATCCATCAACAGGAGACTAGTGAAATTACTGTTTATCCCTGGAATGGAATACTATTAGTTGCTAGAAAGAATAAAGCTCTAAACTGATAACTACTAAATCTGAATAAATGGGTTCTTAAGTCTATTATACTATTCTCGTAACTTTTACATATTATTTGCAATTTCCCATAACAAAAAACTTAAAAAAGAGAGCTACCACTTACTAGAATAATTATTCATATTTCAGGACTGATATCAAGATTAAATGTATATAGGTATAACGCTTAGAACCTTACTTAATATATAATTAACATCTATGTAAGAACACTATTATATAAAGATTTCCCGATGTAGAGACCAAAAGCAGGTCTGAAAGAAAAGCTCATAGCACTTCAGGCCTATCTCAAGAGACAGAGACAGAGAGAGACAGAGAGAGAGAAAGAGAGAGAGAGGGAAGGAGGGAGGGAGGGATGGAGGGAGGGAGGGAGGGAGAGAAACAATAATAATAAACTATTTAACCCTGCAACTTAAAGAACTAGAAAGAAACTGAAACCAGTTTGGCTCAGTGGTAGAGCGTCCGTCTGTGGACTGAAGGGCCCCAGGTTCGATTCCGGTCAAGGGCATATACATTGGTTGCGGGCACATCCCCAGTAGGGGATGTGAATCATCGACGTTTCTAGCTCTCTCTCTCCCTTCCTCTCTGTAAAAAATCAATCAAATATATTTTAAAAAAAGAAAAAGAAAAAAAGAACTAGAAAGAAAACAATAAGACAACAAGGCCCAGAGTAAATAAAAGGAAGGAAATAATAAAGATTACAACAGAAATAAATGACAAAGAAACTAAACACACACACACACACACACACACACACACACACACACACACACACACAAAACCCCACAAAAATATCAATTATCAAAACAACAATGTGGTACCATCTCACACCTGTGAGAATGGCTATCATCAACAAATCAACAAATGACAAGTGCTGGCGAGGATGCAGAGAAAAAGGAATACTCATGCACTGCTGGTGGGAATTCAGACTGGTGCAGCCACTGTGGAGAACACTATGGAGTTTCCTCAAAAAAACTAAAAATGGCCGAAACCGGTTTGGCTCAGTGGTAGAGCGTCGGTCTGCGGACTGAAAGGTCCCGGGTTCGATTCCGGTCAGGGGCATGTACCTTGGTTGCGGGCACATCCCCAGTAGGGGGTGTGCAGGAGGCAGCTGGTCGATGTTTCTCTCTCATTGATGTTTCTAGCTCTCTATCTCTCTCCCTTCCTCTCTGTAAAAAATCAATTAAATATATTAAAAAAAAAAACACACACAAAAAAACTAAAAATGGAACTCCCATTTGACCTAGTAATCCCACTCCTGGGAATATATCCTAAGAAACTAGAAATACCAATCAGAAAGGATAAATATGTACCCCTATGTTCATAGCAGCACAATTTACAATAGCTAAGATTTGGAAACAGCCTAGGTGCCCATCTGCAGATGACTGGATCAGAAAACTATGGTACATCTACACAATGGAATACTATGCTGCCATAAAAAAGAAGGAATTCTTACCATTTGCAGCAACCTAGATGGAATTGGAGAACATTATGCTAAGTGAAATAAGCCAGTCAATAAAAGAAAAATACAACATGATCTCACTCATTTATGGATAATAAAGAACATTATAAACCGAAGAACAAAAAGATAAATACAGAGTCAGTAAAGCATCAAACAGACTGTCAAATTACAGTGGGACGGTTAGGGAGAGGTGGGGAAGATAAGAGATCAACTGAAGGACTTGTATGCATGCATATAAGCATAACCAATGGACGCAAAACACTGGGGGGTGAGGGCATGTATGGGAGTTGGGTGGGGGTGGGGGACAATGGTAAGATATGTATACATATAATACCTTAATAAAAAAATGTGGGGGGAAAAAATTAATGAAACTAAGAACTGGTTCTTTGAAAGGATAAACACGATTGATGAGCCATTAGCTAGATTCATCAAGAAACAAAAGAGAACCCAAATAAATAAAACCAGAAACAAAAGTGGAGAAATAACCACTGACACCACAGAAATACAAAGGATTGTAAGAAAGTACACTGAATAACTTTATGCCAAAAAGCTGGACAATGCGGATGAAATAGACAAATTCCTAGAAAAATACAATCTCCCAAAACTGAATCAGGAAGAATCAGAAAACCTGAATAGGCCAATAACAACTGATGAAATAGAAGCACTAATAAAAAATAAAAAAAAACTCCAGCAAACAAAAGCCCAGGTTCCGATGGCTTCACAGAGAAGTTTTACTGAACTTTCAAAGAAGTAACATCTCCTCTCCTCCAGCTATTCCAAAAAAATTCAAGAAGAAACATTTCCAAAGCTCTATGAAGCCAGCATTATCCTAATTATGAAATCATATAAAGACACTACAAAGAAAGAGAATTACAGCCAATATCCTAATCAACATAGATGCTAAAATCCTCAATAAAATATTAGCAAATTGAATCCAGCAATATATTAAAAAGATCATACACCATGGCCAGATGGGATTTATTCTGGGGATGCAAGGCTGGTACAATATTCACAAATCAATAAACATGATACATAACATAAACAAATTAAAAGACAAAAATCACATGATCATAACAAGAGTCAAAGAAAAAGTATTTGACAAAATCCGACACCAATTTAATAAATTTTTTTTTATTGATTTCAGAGAGGAAGGGAGAGGGTGAGAGAGACAGAAATATCAATGATGAGAGAATCATTCATTGGCTGCTTCCTGCATGGCCCCTACGAGGGATTGAGCCCACAACCCTGGCATGTGCCCTTGACCGGAATCGAATCTAGGACCCTTCAGTCTGCAGGCTAACACTCTATCCACTGAGCCAGACCGGCTCGGGCCCAATTCCCATTTTTGATAAAAACTCTCAGCAAAGTAAGTATAGAGGGAGCATATCTCAAGGCCATATATAACAAACCTATATAGAACATCTTACTCAAATGGCAAAAACTAAAAACCATTTTCCCTAAGAACAGTAAGAAGATAGGGATATACGCTTTCAACACTCTTAATCAACATAGTACTGGAAGTCCTAGCCACAGCGATCAACCAAGAAGAAATCAAAGGCATCCAAATTGGAAAGGAGTAAGTAAAACTTTAATTATTCACAGATGACATGATATTGTACATAGAAAACCTAATGGCTCCACCAAAAAAAATGACATTTAATAAATGAATTTGGCTATGTAGCAGATACAAAATCAACACCCAAAAATAGATGGCTTATTTTATATACCAATAAGGAATTCTCAGAAAAATAAATTAAAAAACAATCCCCCCACACACACACAAAAAAGAAATAAAAAAAATTAAGATACTTAGGAATAAACTTAACCAAGGAGGTAAAAGACATGTACTCAGAATATTAGAGGATATTGAAAAACGAGATAGAAGAAGATATAAACAAATGGAAGAATATTCTTTGTTCATGGATTCCTTGTTCATGAATCAACATCATTAAAATGTCCGCACTACCCAAAGCAATCAACAGATTCAATGCAATCCCTATTAAAATATCAACAGCATATTTCACAGATCTGGAACAGTAACTCCAAAAATTTATATGGAACCAAAAAAGAACCCGAACTGCTACAGCAATCTTGAGAAAGAAGAATAAAGTTGGAGGAATCACAATATCAAATATCAAATTATATTACAAAGCCACCGTGATCAAAACAGCCTGGTACTGGCGTAAGAACAGGCATATCAATCAATGGAACAGAATGGAGACCCAAGAAATTGACCCCAGCCATTACACTCAATTAATATTTGACAAAGAAGACAAGAGCATACAATGAAGTCAAGAGAGTCTCTGCAAATAAAAGGTGTTGGGAAAATTGGACAGACACCTGCAAAAATATGAAACTAGACCACCAATTTACACCATATCCAAGAATAAACTTAAATGGATAAAAGACCTAAATTTAAGTCAGGAAACCATAAAAAAAATCATAGAAGAAACCATAGGCAGCAAAATCTCAGACATCTCTTGTAGCAATATGTTTACAGATTTATCTTGTAGGGCAGTGGTCAGCAAACTGTGCCTTGCAAGGCATATGCGACTCTTTGGCCCCTTGAGTGTGGCTCTTCCACAAAATAGCATGGCTTTGGCGAGTCTATTTTGAAAAAGTGGCATTAGAAGAAGTTTAAGTTTAAGTTTTGGCTCTCAAAAGAAATTTCAATCATTGTACTGTTGATATTTGGCTCTGTTAATTAATGAGTTTGCCGACCACTGTTCTAGGGCAAAGGAAACTAAAGGAGAAATTAAACAAATGGGACTAATGTCAAAATGAAAAACATCTGCACAGCAAAAGAAAACATTAACAAAATGAGAAGGGAGACCACTGTATGAGAGAACATATTTGGCAATGATACATCTGATAAAGAGTTAATATCCAAAATATATAAGGAACTCATACAATTTAACAAAAGGAAGACAAACAATCCAATTAAAAAATGGACAAAGGACGTAAATAAACATTTTTTGAAAGAGGACCTACAGAAGGCCAAGAGACATATAAAAAATGCTCAGAGTCACTAATCATCAGAAAGATGCAAATTAAAATGACAATGAGGTATCACCTTACACCTGTCAGAATGGCTACCATCAACAAATGACAAGTGCTGCCGAAACCGGTTTGGCTCAGTGGTAGAGTGTCGGTCTGCAGACTGAAAAGTCCCAGGTTCGATTCCGGTCAGGGGCATGTACATTGGTTGCGGGCACATCCCCGGTAGGGGGTGTGCAAGAGGCAGCTGGTTGGTGTTTCTCCCATCCACGTTTCTAGCTCTCTATCTCTCTCCCTACCTCTCTGTAAAAAATCAATAAAAATATATTTTAAAACAAACAAACAAAAAAAAACAAATGACAAGTGCTACGGTAGTAAAGATGTGGAGAAAAAAAGAGCCCTAAAAAAAAAAGAACCTAGTACAATGCTGGTGGGAATGCAGACTGGTGCAGCCATTATGGAAAACAATATGGAGTTTGCTCAAAAAATTAAATATGGAACTCCCATTTAATCCAGTGATCCCATTTCTAGGAATATATCCTAAGAAACCTGAAACACCAATCAGAAAAAAATGTATGTACCCCTATGGTCATAGCAGCACAATTTATAATAGCTAAGATCTGGAAACACCCAAGTGCCCATCAGTAGATGAGTGGGTAAAAAAGCTATGGTACATTAATACCATGGAATACTATGCAGCAGTAAAAAAGAATCTCTTACCCTTTGAGACAGCCTGGAGGGCCCTGAAGAGTCAAACAATACATACACTTGCTAAGTGAAATGTCAGTCAGAGAAAGACAAGTATCACATGATGTCACTCATATGTGGAATCTAATGAACAAAATAAACTGATGAACAGCGTGGATCCAGAAACATGGAAGCATGGAACAGAGTGCAGAATCTCAGAGGGAAGGTGCAGAAGGGTGGGTGGGTGGGAGGTAATCAACCAAAGACCTTATATGCATATATGCATATCCTATGGGTGGGGTGAGCTATAAGGGGTCAATGAGGGGGAAAAAGAGGACATATGTAATACTTTCAACAATAAAGATTAAAAAAAAGAGAGAGAGAGAGAGAGAAACATTAACGGAGATAACTGTTCCAAAAAAAAAAAATCTCCAGGTGTGGGAAAAAAAAATCAAGAAACCAATAATATGCACAGTGTGTAACAATATGTATCAGTATATACACATACCATGTAATATATTACATGATTTCAGAGATATATTTCAATATATAGAAAAGAATATATTGAAAACCTCTAGGAAATCAGATGGGGGTGAAAACAAGAGGTGCTTGAGTGTATGTACTGTTTGACTTTTAATTAGTCTATACATTTCATTTTATAGTTAATGCAATAACAGAGTTATGAGGAACAAAAATGTTAAAAAGGACTCAACTGGCCGAAACCGGTTTGGCTCAGTGGTAGAGCGTCGGTCTGCGGACTGAAAGGTCCCAGGTTCGATTCCGGTCAAGGGCATGTACATTGGTTGCGGGCACATCCCCATTGGAAGGTGTGCAAGAGGCAGCTGGTCGATGTTTCTCTCTCATCGACGTTTCTAGCTCTCTATCTTTCTCCCTTCCTCTCTGTAAAAAATCAATAAAATATATTTTAAAAATAAATAAAAAGGATTCTTAATGTGCTAGAGAATAAGATAGCCAGACATCGCCGAAACCGGTTTGGCTCAGTGGATAGAGCGTCAGTCTGTGGACTGAAAGGTCCCAGGTTTGATTCCGGTTGAGGACATGTACATTGGCTACGGGCACATCCCCAGTGGGGGTTGTGCAGGAGGCAGCTGCTCAATGCTTCTCTCATCATCCATGTTTCTAGCTCTCTATCCCTCTCCCTTCCTCTCTGTAAAAAAATCAATAAAATATATATTTTTAAAAATGGCCAGACATTTGTAGAAAGAACCCCAAATAAAAAATGTTTATGATAACATAGTGGGATATCAAGGTCTACTTTCCACTCTAGTATTTTGTCCCCCCTTCCTCTACTATAAATCAAACTGGTAGAGAGAATAGTGTACTTGAGAGGCAAAATCTCTGCTCAGCACTCTTCTTCTTTACAAAAGTCCTTATATGCAGAGAATTTGTATAATTCGCTATACAGAAAAAGAACTATCTATTATGGTGATACAATACAGGCTAGAAGACCTAAACTTCGAGCCTGAAGTTTCCTGGTCCTAATTACCTATTATATAAAGCAGAGACAAACTACTTTGACCATATACTTGAAATGAAATAGACTCTACTGAAAATGTATGATCTACTGAGAAATGAAAAACCCAACACAAACACATAAAAGTTAAACAAAATGAAACACTAATATCCCACCCCCAAATCCAGATTGTCTGCTCTGTACTCAAATTACAAAAAGAGATAGTTACACATCAACAGTTTTTTCAGGGGGTTCTTCCTCTTTAACAGGCAGTTCTATGGGCTTTGGTTCTTCTTCCTAAAACCAAACGAAACAGGATATTTAATATAAATCAAGAGTAAAAACCTATCAGTAGAAGAATATGAAAATGCTAAAATGAACCAGTCTTTCAAAATCTTCATTTGCCCACTACACTCCCTTAACAAGTTAGTATTTAAGCCCTCTAATGACTGATGTTAAACAATGCAACACATTGTCAGGTCAGTGACTAACCTTATTCTCTCCAACTCACCTCTGTTTCATCTCCTAGTACATCTTCTTCATTTGCCTCCTCTTCAGCTAAAGAATATTAAAATATTCAGGTCAAGCCATGCTACAAAACCGTATTGATCACTTCACTCAGGCTAAAATTATAATCATTTTGCTTTCCCAAAATACAATTCAACAATGAAGGCAGAACGAATGCTGGTAAAATTGCTCCACAAAGAAGATAAAACTGTTTTCTCCATCTAACATTAATACAAAGTTGAAGTCCAGCTGAACTGAAGAACTAAATGTGATGAGGTAAAATTTAAATATTAATATTAAATATTATAATATGGGAGGATGCCTTTAAGATTAAGTGGTAGGGAATAATTTCTAAAATTAAAAAAGAAGAAATAGAAGAAGCAGCAGCAACAGCAGCAGCAAGCCTGACGGTGTTGCTCAGTGGTTGAGCATTGACCTAGGAACCAGGAGGTCTCACTTTGATTCCCGATCAGGGCACATGCTGGGTGACAGGTTTGATCCCCAGTGAGGGCATATAGAAGGCAACCGATAGATGATTCTCTCTCATCAATGTTTCTCTCTCTCTTCTTCTCTGAAGTCAACAGAAATGCATATATTAAACACACACACACACACACACACACACACACACACCCCAAAAGCAAAAATAGTATGAGAAAGCCCTGACTAGTGTGGCTCAGTTGGTTGAAGCATAGCCCTGTGTACAGAAAAGTAACTTGTTCGATTCCCTGTCAGGGAACATGGGAGGCAACCAACCAATGTATCTCTCTCACATCAATGTTTCTCTCCCCCACCTCCTTCCCTTAAATCATTAAAAAAAAAAAAAATGTAATATGAAAAAATTTCAGATTTTTTCAAAACTAAGGAAAAACACATAACTAAGGAAAAACATAGAAAAGGAAACAAATAACAAAAATATTAGTCTCAACTAACAAGGGAATAGTTACTAGAATATAAAACAAATGGCTTGCAAACTAACTGGTGAATGGTACAAACCCTAAAAGAATAATAAACAAACGAGAAATTTAAAGAACCATGAACACAGAAATGTGTAAACTCTTTAATAATTAGAGAAATATAAACTGAAACAACTAAGAGATTAGCAAAAATTAGGCTACTTGATAAGAGTGCCAAGTTTACGTGTGAAAATGATATAAGAACCATCATGTACTCTTTAGATTTATAGAGCAATTCTGTAAAGTAATTTGGCAGTACTTAAGTCATATTAAGTATATTAAATAGATATTAATTAGCAACCCATTCCTAGGTATATAACCCAGAAAGACTCTTACACAGGAATGTGAAGGAACATGAAAGTAGTAGTTCAGGAGGCAATAGAGGTGCCCATCACTGGGTGAATTAAAATGTGGTGGGTTCTGCCGAAACCGGTTTGGCTCAGTGGATAGAGCGTCGGCCTGAGGAATGAAAGGTCCGGATTCAATTCCGGTCAAGGGCATGTACTTTGCCTGCGGGCACATCCCCAGTAGGAGGTGTGCAAGAGGCAGCTGATCGATGTTTCTCTCTCATTGATGTTTCTAATTCTCTATCCCTCTCTCTTCCTCTGTGTGAAAAACCAATAAAATATATATATTTTTAAAAATATGGTGGGTTCTATACATCTTAAACCACTATATAGGAATTGGAATTAATAGACTAGATGACAACACAGTCATAAGCCAAACAAATACATCTTTAAATCAACACAGTACTGCCTGGCCAGCATAGCTTAGGGGTTGGGCATCGACTAGGAGGTCATGGTTCGATCATGTGTGGGGCATGCAAGAGGCAGCAAATCAATGATTCTCTCTGATTGTTGATGTTTCCATCTCTCTCTCCCTCTCCCTTCTTCTCTGAAATAAGCAGTGACTATCCAAAGTTACCTAGTAAATTTCTGGTAGAAAAGGAATTAGAATTCAAATATTCTCTCTCTCTTTTTTTTTTTTAAATATATTGATTTTTTTTTCCCCAGAGAGGAAGAGAGAGAGGGATAGAGAGTTAGAAACATCGATGAGAGAGAAACATCAATCAGCTGCCTCCTGCACACTCCCCACTGGGGATGTGCCCACAACCAATGTACATGCCCTTGACCGGGATCGAACTCGGGACCTTTCAGTCCGCAGACTGAAGCTCTATCCATTGAGCCAAACCGGTTTTGCCAAGAATTCAAATATTCTAATCCTCAGGTTAATACTTCCTTTTAAATAATTTGCTGAAATAAAATTACAATGTATTTTTAAAATGGGAGGAAGTGGGGTTTTTTTTGCATTATAACCACTGTTCTGGATAACCAAGAGTTTTCTTGATAGAGTTAATAGCTTATATTACCAGCAACCTAAAGGGAAAGAAGAAATCTTCCATATGGCAGAGCCTAAAAACTAATATCCTCAATCATACCACTTTTTGCCTCCCCAAAGTACTCACCATGCTCTTCAAGATAGGCCTGGAGCCTGTTGATGAGATCTTGTTTTATTCCCTTGGTCTCCAAACCACGAGCAAGACATTCCTGCTTTAGTTCAGCAAGCTGAGAAAAAAATAAAACTTTTCCTTAGTTTACAGAATGAACCTGGCCCCCCCACAAAAAAAATTACAGTTGATTCTTGAACAACACGGAGTTATTAAAGGCCCTGACACCCATGCAATCAAGTATCTAAATAGAACATGAATTCCTCAAAAGCATAACTACTAATAGTCTACTGTTGATTGGAAGCCTTACCAATAACATAGGAACAGTTGATTAGCAAATTTTTGGTATATTATTATATACTATAATCTTACAAAATATTATAGTAAGCTAGAGAAAAGAAAATGTTAAGAAATCATAAAGAAACTGCATTTACCATACTATATGTATTTATTGAAAGAAAACAAAAAACTCAAATATAAGTGGACCTGAACAGTTTAAACCCATATTGTTAAGGATCAACTGCAATTCTCACAAAAAAAGAAAAAGAAAAGAAACTTCAATCCCAAACAATTGCTCTTAATCCCACCAAGCCTCTAGATCCACGAGAGGACTTTTCTAACATATAGTAAAAATAAATACCCTACTTTAATAAAATTATTATATATTCATGCAACTATTTATTATTACAAATCTTTAGCATTTCTGAGAAAAGGGTATAGTTTCCCCAAAAAATGACTGTACCAGCTAGTTAATGAAAATACTTAACCTTTAAGTATAAAATCTAGTTATCTACAAAAGGAGATTCTTCTGTTATCCCAGATTCTTTACTGAAATCTATCATAAATAGGTGTTCCAGTCTGACCACTTGCAGAATTAGGTAAATGTGTTAGCCAGCTTAATATCAACAATGAATCAATTAAAAGATTGATTGATCCAAGCCATTACCCTCAATTAATATTTGACAAAGGAGGCATTTGCAAATATGTTCTCCCATACCATGCGCTTCCTTGTTGTTTTGTTGTTTCTTTTGCTGTGAAAAGTTTTTTATTTTTATGTAGTCCCATTTGTTTATTTTCTCTTTAGCTTCCATTTCCCTAGAGTGGTATTGGTGAAGAAATTGCTTCGGCATATGTCTGAGATTTCTCTGCCTGTGGTTTCTCCTAGCATTTTTATGGTTTCCTGTGTTATGTTTAAGTCCTTGATCCATTTTGAGTTTATTTTTGTGTATGGTGTAAGTTGGTGATCTAGTTTAATTTTTCTCCATGTATCTGTCCAATTGTCCCAATCATTTATTGAAGAGACTGTCTTGACTCCATTGTATGTTCATGCCTCCTTTGTCAAATACTAATTGAGCATAGTGGTTTGGGTCAATATCTGGGTTCTCTATTCTATTCCATTGGTCTATATGTCTGTTCTTGTGCCAGTACCATGCTGTTTTGAGAACAGTGGCTTTGTAATACAGTTTGAAGTCTGGTATTGAGATCCCACCTACTTTGTTCTTCTTTCTCAGGATTGCTGTGGCTATTTGGGGTCTTTTTTTTTTTATTTTTTTTTTATTCCAGATGAATTTTTGGTGTTCTTTCTAAGTCTGTAAAATATTCTGTTGGTATCTTCATGGGGATTGTGTTGAATCTATAGATTGCTTTGGGTAGTATGGACATTTTAATGATGTTGATTCCACCAATCCATGAACACAGTATTTTCTTCCATTTGTTTGTCTTCCTCTAGTTCTTTTTTCAACATCCTGTAGTTTTCTGAGTATAAGTCTTTTACCTCCTTAGTATCTTAATTTTTTTGTTGCAATGGTAAATTGATTTTTTGTTTGTTTGTTTCTTTCTGTGAGTTCATTATTGGTGTATAAAAAAAGTCATCGATTTTTGGGTGTTAATTTCCTATCACGCTACATTGCTGGATTCATTTATTAAGTCTAGTAGTTTGTTTGTTTTTTTAATGTATTTTATTGATTTTACACAGAGAGGAATTGAGAGGGACAGAGAGTTAGAAACGTCAATGAGAGAGAAACACCGACCAGTTGCCTCTTGCACACCCCCCAATGGGAATGTGCCCGCAACCAACGTACATGCCCTTGACCGGAATCGAACCCGGGACCTTTCAGTCCGCAGGCCAATGCTCTATCCACTGAGCCAAACCGGTCCTGGCAAGTCTAGTAGTTTTTTGATGGAGTCTTTGGGGCTTTCTACGTACAATATCATGTCATCTTCTAATACCATAGGGCAGTTTTACTTCTTTTCCAATTTGGATCCCTTTTATTTCTTCTTGTCTGATCACTTTGGCTAGCACTTCCAGTACTAGTTGAATAAGAGTGGTGAAAGTGGGCATCCCTATCTTGTTCATATTCTTAGCAGAAATGGTTTTAGTTTTTGCTCACTGAGTATGGTGTTGGCTGTAGGTATGTCATATATGGCCTTTATCATGTTGTGATATGCTCCCTCTATTCCCATTTTGCTGAGAGTTTTTATAAAAAACTAGAGGCCTGGTGCACAAAATTCATGCAAACTCCTGAAGGGACACTTTGCATATTAGTCTTTTATATATATTGATGGGTGCTGGATTTTGGCAAATACTTTCTCTGTGACTATTGATATGATCATGTGATTTTTGTCTTTCAATATGTTTATGTGATCTATCACGTTTATTGATTTGTGAATATTGTACCAGTCTTGCATCTCTGGAATAAATCCCACTTAATCATAGTGTATGAACTTTTTAATATATTTCTGGATGTAATTTGCTAATATTTTGTTGAAGATTTTAGCATACAGGTTCATCAGGGATATTGGCCTGTAATTCTCTTTCTTTGTAATGTCTTTATATGGTTTTGGAATTAGGATAATACTGGCCTCATAAAAAGAGTTTGGAAGTGTTCCTTCCTCTTGAATTTTCTGAAATAGTTGAGGAGTATAAGTGTTAGTTCTTCTTTGAATATTTGGAAAAACTCCCCTGTGAAGCCATCCGGACCTGGGCTTTTCTTTGCTGGGAGGTTTTTTTTTTTGTTTTGTTTTGTTTTCCCCATTGTGCCTCAGACACTCATCACAGGCAGTTGCTCTCCACCATTACAAAATAACTGGATGCCTCTGTGTCTCTGAGGACTCTCATCAGTAGCCTGCTAAGAAAATGGAGGAGGGGGTGATGAGCCAGAGATTAAACTTTTGTAGTTGGAAAGAAGAAGCCCTAATCTTATAAGTTTTACACTTCCCTTGTGAAATATTGTTATTACTTCTAAGTTCTCTTTTTATATTGTTCTCATGGGAAATTTAGCACTGAAATGAAACTACTTTGTTTTTTTGTTGGTTGGGAGTTTTTTTTATTAATGCTTCTATTTCATCAGTTGTTATTGGCCTATTCAGGTTTTCTGATTCTTCCTGATTCAGTTTTGGGAGATTGTATTTTTCTAGGAATTTGTCTATTTCATCCACATTGTCCAGATTCTTGTATTATTATTTATTAATATATTACTTTAAAAAAATGTTAATTGATTTCAGAGAGGAAGAGAGGGACAGAGTAATGGAAACATCAATGATGACAGAGAATCATTGATTGGCTGCCCACTGCATGCCCCACACTGGGGATAAAGCCATGTGCCCTGACTGGAAATCGAACAATGACCTCCTGCTTCATAGGTCAGACGCTCTACCACTGTGCCATGTTGGCCAGGCAATGTATTATTCTCCATATGAACTATATAAAACTACTTTTGCCCCACCCTGTCTGTGGAGACGTGTCCTACTCAACCAGCCAACAGCACTCTATCGAGAAATGTTAGGTAATAAACTGTTAAGTGTAATGGCTGCATAGTCTTAATGGCCTCTGAAGCCAGACAACCTGGATTCAAACTCTAGCTTTACCACTAACAGCTATGTAAATTTAGGTGCATAACTTAACCTCTCTGTACCTCAGATTCTCCTGAAATGAGGAAAATGCAACAGTATCTATACCAAAAGGTTTTTTGAAGATTAAACCAGTGAGTATTTGTAAAGCATTTGGAATAGGGTTTGGCACCTAGTAAGCACTTTATAATGTTAGATACTAGACGGAGGTTTAGACAGAATTAGACTGAATCATTGTTTCTCAGATTTCTGAATTTCACAGATATTCTTAAATAGGTAGATTGATAGGTATGCCAATTTTTTTTTATTCATTTTTTTTTTTTTTTTACAGAAAGGAAGAGAGAAGGATAGAGAGTTAGAAACATCAATGAGAGAGAATCATAGATCAGCTGCTGCTTGCACACCCACTACTGGGGATGTGCCCACAACCAAGGTACATGCCCTTGACCAGAATCGAACCTGGAACCTTTCAGTCCACAGGCTGATGCTCTATCCACTGAGCCAAATCGGTTTCGGCAGGTATGCCAATTTTTTATAATATTCCAACCAGGTCATGGACTGATACTATAAAAACAATTTAAACCAATTACTATAAAAACAATCATATGCTTCAATGTAGTAGCAGTGATGTCAAATTGCTATAAAAGTTTCTAAAAGCTTATTCAATTTGTCACTAACCAGTAACAAACATTTCATGGACAAGCACTGGCCTATGGACCATACTTGAATAGAATTAATCTAGAATCTAAACTCTAAGTGATCTCTAAGGTCCATTTCTTAAGAATCTTGATCTGTCCTGCCTTGGTACTTTGATTTCCTTTCAGCTTCCTGAAGAGCAAGTCTTCTGATTTTGGTTACACTTTTTAAAGTTTTTGTTTTGTTGTATAAATATTAAAAGACCCAGTGCATGAATTTGTGCACAGGTGGGATCCCTCAGCCTGGCCAGGGATCGAGGCCTATTAAGGGGACCAGCCAGTGGGGGGAAGGGCCGTGGGAGGTTGGCTGGTAGGGGGGGAGGGGGTCAGGGGATGGATGGAGGGGCTGCGGGAAGTTGGCTTGCTGGCAGGGGTGGGGAGGAGCTGCAGATTGGGGGGAGGGGGCTGGTCAGGGGGAGAGGCCATGGGAGGTTGGCTGTGGGAGCGCACTGACCACCAGGGGCAGCTCCTGCATTGAGTGTCTGCCCCTTGGTGGTCAGGGCATGTCATAGCGACCAGGCATTCAGTCATTTGGTCACTTAGGCTTTATATATATATATATATATATATATAT